AACCCAGATATAAAACCATCCTCATATAGCCAACTAATCTTCAACAAAGCAGACAAAAACTGGGGAAAAGAATCCTTATTCAATAAATGGTGCTAGGAAAACTAGATAGCCACATGTAGAAGACTGAAACAGGGCCCACACCTTTCACCTCTCTCAAAAGTCAACTCACACTGGATAACAGACTTGGACCTTAGGTGTGAAAATATTAGAATTCTAGAGGAAAACATTGGCAATACTCTTCTACACATTGGCCCAGGGAAAGAATTTATGAAGAAGACTGCAAAGGCAATCACAACATCAACAAAAATAAATAAATGGGATATGATCAAATTAAAAGGCTTTTGCACAGCCAAAGAAACTGTCAAGAGACCAAACAGCCAACTCTCAGAATGGGAAAGAATTTTCACAAGCTACATATCCGATAAAGTGCTGATAACTAGAATCTATTTAGAACTCAGGAAAATCAGCAAGGAAAAATCAAACAACCCTATTAAAAAGTGGGCAAAGAACATGAACAGAAACTTTTCAAAAGAAGACAGAATAATGGCCAATAAACATGAAAAAATGCTCAACATCTCTAATCATCAGGGAAATGCCATTCCAGCCAGGAGGGGCCATTCCAGCCTCGCCTGAAGCTTTGCCCAGACACAGAGAATAGACCTTTGGCTCCTGCTAACAGCATTAGTGTGGCTTTGAGGGAATGCTTATCCAACCAAGCTCCACCCAAACTCACCCTGGACCTGCCTTCACTGAGGTGGAGAATAAGGACAAACTGGAAGTCTAGTGCCCACCCATCACCTGAGATACTAGAGGGCCTCGTCCAGAGTAAAAAGAGCTGGTTACAGGACCCAAAACAACACTGTAGCGCTACCTTCTCCTAGCAAGTGCCACTACTGAGCAGGGAGGTCATTCTGCCACCCTTTTACAGAATCTACTGACTGCATCATATAGGGTTGGTGGAATCTCACCCACAAACATTCACCTACAGTCTCAGATTCTAAACAATGTATGTCATTATCCAAATGAAAATCTAAAGGTAGGAGCAACCAAGCGACTCAGATGAGAAGAAATAAGTGAAAGAACTGTGGAAGTAGGAAGACTCAAACAGAAAGCACAGCCACGTAGAAGAAAACAGCCTTAAGAAATGGACATCAACCAAACTCAGAATAACTAAAATGACAGAAGAAGAATTCCAAACATCGATTGTAAAAATTCAATGACTTGCAAGAAAAAATGGATAACCAACAAAGAACAACACACAAAAAATTATAACTGGAAGAAAACTTCAATAAAGAACTGAATAATAAAGAATAATCAAACAGAATCCTGGAAATAGAATCTATTTAAAACAAAGTGGAAAGCCTCAAAGAACAGGGTGGATCAAATAGAAGAAGATCTCAGAGATTGAAGATACAAAACTTCCAATTAAATAATCAACAGAGATAGAGCAGAGAATAAGAGAAACAGCAAAGCTTCAACAATTGTGGGGATTATGTGAATAAACTAACATGAAGGTTAGTGGGATTCTGAAGGAGAAGAAAACACTCAAGGCTTGGATAAGCTATTGAAGATATAACTAGAGAAAACCTTCTAGGCCTTGCTAAAATCTGATATCCAAGTATGAGAAACTCAAAGGACGCCCTGGGAGATCATTGTAAACAGGAGACACCATGACATACAGTCATCAGACTGACCAAATATCAACTAAAGAGGCCCTTATACAAGCTGTAAGATGAAAGAAACAAGTAGCATATAAAGGAAAGCGAATCCGAATAAGCCAGACTTCTCTACTGAAACCTTACAAGCAAGGAGAGACTGGGCCCATTCACTCTTATAAAACAGAATAATCCCAGCCTAGAATCTTGTACCCTGCAAAACTAAGTTTGTATATGAGTAAATAAAGACATTCTCATATAAGAGCAAATACTGAGAGAATTCACAAAGATAAGACCAGCCCTCCAAGTACTCAAAACAATGCACCCTTGGATCAGCACAATAAACACTAATGATAGTAAAACACTCAAACCATAAAGACAAAGGCCAGATACCACATGGCTCAAGAGAGAAACAAAGCAACAAGTACAACCCAACATATATAAAAAAATCAGCCCCACCTATTAGTTCATAATAAATCGATGAGTGTTGCTTGAACCCCCACTCAAAGAGACAAGGCTGGCGAATGGATAAAAATACAAGCCAAGTATTCTGATGTCCTTCAGGAAGCAATTTAGCCTGCAAGATGCAGTTGATAAGGGTAAGGGAGTGGAAACAACTTTCAAGCAATGAAAGCCAATAAAGGCTGGTATGGCAGTTTGTTCAGATAATTAGTAGTTAAATCCACAAAAGTAATAAAAGACAAAATCAACTATATATGTGAAAAGGGTACAGTTCAACAAGAAGACAGTAACAATTTACATTATCTGCCACCCAACTTAGTGCACCCAGATTTATGAAGAACTCACTTGATCTAAACAATGGATAAACAATAACACCATAATGCTGGAGACTTTAATACCGCTGACAGCACAGACAGATCCTCAACAGAATATAACAAAGAATAATGTACTTAAACAGAACTTTTTAGAATAATGGGCCTGACTGACACGTTACAGGATCTACCTTTAAAACCACTGAATTACATTTTTTATCATGGATCATTCTAAGATTGACCTTATCCTAGGACACAAGAGCATGTCTAAACAATTTAAAAATATATAATTGATACACATACTTTTGTCGATCACAATGAATAAAGTAGAATCAACCCTAACAGAACCTCATTCTACACAAGTAAGGATAAAAAGCTTTACTGACATGATCACCCTTCGATAAATGAGGAAATCAAGATTGAAACAAAGACTCCTTGAACTAAATTGACAAACGTGATACAAGTACCAAAAATCTGTTGACAGCAGCTAAAGCATCTGGAGGAAAGTTTATTTTCATAAATGCTATATCCAAAAGTCGACATAATCACAAATAGACAACCTAATGAATCATCTCAAAGAGCTGAACAAAGAGAAAGACCAACCTAACTGAGCAGAAGAATGAAATCATTAAGATAAAATCAATAACCTAAATGAAATTGACAAGGGAAACATATATGAAGATTAAGTAAACAAAAAGTTGGCGGCGGGCGCTGTGGCTCAACGCGTATCCTGGCTCCTTGGGTGAGGAGCGGCGGATTGCTCAAGGTCAGGGTCAAACCAGCCTGAGCAAGAGCGAGACCCGTCTTACTATAAATAGAAGAAATAAGCTTGGCCAACTGTAACATATATATAAAAAAAAAATAGCCGGCATGGGTGGGATGCCTGTAGTCAGCGGTACTTGGGAGGGCTGAGGCAGAAGGATCACTCAAGCCAGGAGTTTGGTTGATGTGAGCGGTAGGCTGACGCCACGGCACTCACTCTAGCCTGGACAACAAGCGAGACTAGTGTCTCAAAAAAAAAAAAAAAAAAAAAAGTGCTCTCAAAAAATAAACAAAATTGCACACCTTTGGTGTAGAATAATGAAAAGCAAACAAAGAAAATCTTAATAAAATCGATTAGGAATATAAAGGAGAGAATACACTGATGCCACATAGATACAAGTATAATTTATGAATACTAAAAAACTTTAATGCCCCAAATAGAAATGTGGACGCATGGAAAGATTCTTTAGAACACACAGCCTCCTAGCTCAGCCAGGAAGAAATAGAATACGCTGACAGACAATATAACAGTATGAATTGAAATAGCAATAAAAACCTTCTAAAGAAAAGTCCAGAAGAGATGGTTTCACATCCGATTTTACCACACTACAAAGAAGAACTGTGCTATCCTACGAAATTTATTCCCAACATCAAGAGGATGATGCTCCCCAACACATTATCGAAGCCAAATACTCTGATACAAACCAATAAAGGATGAAACAAAAAAGAACTACAGACCAAATATCCCTTATGTAATATAGATGTAAAAGTCTCAACAAACCTAGTCAATAGAATCCAGGTGCTTATTAGAAAATATCATCACAACCAGTGGGCTTCATCCCAGAGATACAGGATGAGGTCAAATACACAAATCTATAAATATACATCACTATTATAAACAGAAGCCAAAAAAAGACTATATGATCCTCTCAATAGATGCAGCAAAGCATTTGACCAAAATTCGACACGTTTTATGATAAGAACGCCACAAATAGCAATAGACGGCTTACCTAAAATGATAAAGCCAGACTCATGAGAAAACAACAGCCCATCATAGGGGACGCTGAATCGGGAAAAATGAAAGCATGCCACCTAGACTGAAACAAGCAGATGGGTCATTATCTCCATTTCTTTCAACTAGTGGAAGCGGTGTAAATTAAGTAGCATAGAGTCAAACCTCACTTCTTGTGAGGCATGATATGTAACTGTTACTCAGAGATTCACCAAGGTCCTTATATTGAAATAATTTGAATAGTCTCAGGATTGCAGTAAATCAATACACCATACTATTGAATTTCCAAAACGTCCAATGATGAGAACCTATATCAAGACTCAATCCTTCAAAATAGCAACATTAGAACAATAAGTATCCTGAGAATATATTTTAAGATGATAACGATTTCAGGGAGGAGTATGAACACTATGAAGAATAGCAGGAGGATGTAACGAGTATTAACTGCTCATGGTCGGCGATATCTAACATTGTAATTCGGGTTACGTATACCAAGTACGTAGAATTCAATGCTTAATCCGTTAAGAATCGCATCGTGTAATATTTACACGTAATCAGAAATACTTTATCATCAATCCGTAGGCTAAAACAAAAGTATTCATTAGATTCAATACTTTACATTAAGTAAGAAAAAAATTAAACTGAAAGAAGAGGACAGTGCAGATAAAGTACCCTGATTAACTCATCCATATATTCTTAACAAAAGGGTGTGTACCCTGGATGTGAATGCATTGTGACATAGTCTGAGGGTTTTTCTGCTTGTGCTGGAAATATAAGCTAGGTGCTTTAGTCTGGAAGGAGGAAGAGTAGGCAGTTTTAGACCTAGGGCCAGTTGGCACCTGCTTTTCCCTCTGGAGTCTGGAACATTATAAATTGTTGAGAGAAGACAATTGAATTGAACTTCACATTGAGGAAAGTATGAAGGTAAGGATAATTTAACTAAGAAAACCCACTGAAAACAGTTGAATTTGGGGAGAGAAAGTGCTGGTGCAGAATGATGGAGAACCAAGAAATATGAAGGCTACGTATAAATGCTTGTGTAGCTTTCCTTTGAGTGTTAAGACAAATTGTAAAGTGAAGCTCAAGAAATATTTCAAATTTGTTTGGTGTATTAGAATTTATACACATGTCTTGAAATATGAGTCACTAATTAAGACTTAAGAATGCTTTATTTTGGTGTGGCTATAGATGAAATTTTAGTTTAGGTTTTTTTACCATAATGGTATTCATTTTATGTTGAAGTTAGCTATTTGGTCATAATTCCACCAAGAGAATTGTTGAATCTCTTTTTCTGGGGTACTTTGGTTTCTCTCCTCTTTTGGTGTGTAGACCTGGTCTGTGGTTTGTGTGGCTGTAACACCTGGGAATTAACACTGAACACCTGAGTTAGAACTTGGGCTTTGCCAAATATTATCTCTAATTGTGAGATTTTTGGTGTCATTATGAGTGGAGGGCTTCTTTGGATGGGGTCGAAATAAGAATTTTTAGGATGAACCACTTCTGGAAGCCAGTGATTCAATCTTGTAGCCTATCATGTTAGGTCTGGGTGAGCCACTTTCCCCAGGAGGTTTCAAGTGGTGGATCAGGCAGGGAGGATGCTGAGGAAGGGCCTTCTTGTTTCCTACCTTGGTGCTTTCCCTGAGGTTCTATCAGCTGCCCACAAATATGTTCCACTTTGTGGGTGAGGAAAGCCCTGTGCTTTCCTTCAAAGGAGAATGTGTCTGCCCTTTGGGTTTAGCTCTAATCAAACTCCATGCTACTGTACTTGTCTTTTCCAAGCAGTAAGCTGCACCTGCAGGCAGTAGCAAAGCAGGGACATGTAGATGGCTGTATGGGTTATGGCTGTAGGAGGCAAGAGTGAGTGATGTTTCAGGAACTGGGCAGTTTTTTTTCCTCTAACAATGAAAGTGAGATAAAATGAATACCATCTTCATTACCAGGGATAACTTTGTCTATTTGCTCCCTTAGGCAAATATAGCAAGCCTGCTTTGACTTTGTGTTGTTTGGATCTTTTAAACACAGAAAGATTGGAACCATAAGATTGTTTCTGATTAAGTGGTTGAAGATATAGAGGTTCTATAACTGAAGTAGGAAGAAGAACTCATTTTTCCCCCACTCTGATCAACTCTTATCCTTCTTCGACTACTCCCCATTGCCACCTTATTATATCCCAGTGCAGAAAGATACTGGTCCTTTCAGCTTTTGAGGCAGCAGAACCCTCTTAGCTAATCATGGGTTGGGTCAGAAGGACTATTTAGCCTAGACCTGAACATTCAGAGGGGGCCCAGATTTTAAAATTTCAAGCTGTCTACAGCATAGGCAATATGTACACATGTATATTAAGAGTATTTATTAGGTAATTCTAAACATTTAAAAGCAAACACAATTTTTGCTTGGCCCTCCCAAGCAGGTGAAATTGAAGGGGTTCCGGGAAATCAGCCCCTTCTCCTAGGGGAAAAAGGGGGGCGGGGAGGGTTGAAGTTAGGCAGCAGACATGATATGTCTTAATAACCAATTAGTTTTAGGGAAATAGCCAAACTCTAGGATGATTTTCATATTTTAAGGTTGTGCAAGTGGTGAATGACAGTGTTGTCAACCAAAATATGTAACTCGGAAAATTTATTTTCTAGCTGTGGGTGTATAGATAAGGTGATTAATTTGATTTGGGGGCATGTTGAGTATGAATGGCCTTTGAGACATCAAAGTAGAGATGTTTTGTAAATATGTGATCTTGTAATATAAGAAACACTTAGTTACTCTTGTCAATTTAGAACCTCATAGTATATAAGGCACTATCCAGGCCTAATGGGGAATAGAAAGAATAGATTTTATGGCTCCTGATTTCAAGTATTTTGTTTGATTGCAATTCAGGTATTGAATAACCACAGAAAATGCCAGTAACTATCCAGACAACAGAAAGAGAAGTGCATGAATGATTGCCAGATGAACTGTATAGATGCATCTTGCTTTTCTGTAGTTACTATCCAAGTAGAATTGTTCAGATCATTGTGTGATCCTGTGCAGGGCATGTCCCAGCCCTCATAACAGCCAGGAGCACTCACTGGCTTGAGATCTTGCCTGCTGGCAGATGGTCAGGAGAAGCTGCAGAGTTGGGGAGGGTGGAAAGGAGCAAGGCCTGCTCCAGATGGCAGGTCTCAGACAGTCCCACCCCCACATGTAGAATTTCTGGCTATTCCAGCCAGAGGGCCATTCCAGCCCCTCCCTGAAAGCTTTGCCCAGACACAGAGAATAGACCTTTGGCTCCTGCTAACAGCATTAGTGGTGCTTGAGGGAATGCTTATCCAACCAAGCTCCACCCAAACTCACTCCTGGACCTGCCTTCACTGAGGTGGAGAATAAGGACAAACCTAGAAGTCCTAGTGCCCCACCCACCACCTGAGATACTAGAGTACCTCTCCAGAGTAAAAAGAGCTGGTTACAGGACCCCAAAACAACACTGTAGCCTACTTCTCCTAGCAAGTGCCACCTACTGACAGGGAGGTCATTCTGCACACCCTTTTACAGAATCTACTGACTCATCATATAGGGTGTGGTGGAATCTCACCCACAAACATCACCTACAGTCTCAGATTCTAAACAATGTATGTCATTATCCAAATGAAAATCTAAAGGTAGGAAGCAACAAGCGATCCAGATGAGAAGAAATAAGTGAAAGAACTATGGAAGTAGGAAGACTAAAACAGAAAGCACAGCCACATAGAAGAAAAACAGCCCTTAAGAAATGGACATCAACCAAACTCAGAATACTAAAATGACAGAAGAAGAATTCCAAACATCGATTGTAAGAAAATTCAATGACTTGCAAGAAAAAATGGATAACCAACACAAAGAAACCAAACACACAAAAAATTTATAACCTGGAAGAAAACTTCAATAAAGAAACTGAAATAATAAAGAATAATCAAACAGAATTCCTGGAAATGAAGAATCTATTTAAAACAAAGTGGAAAGCCTCAAGAACAGGGTGGATCAAATAGAAGAAAGAATCTCAGAGATTGAAGATACAAACTTCCAATTAAATAATCACAGAGATAGAGCAGAGAAATAAGAGAAACAAGCAAAGCCTACAACAATTGTGGGATTATGTGAATAAACCTAACATGAAGGTTAGTGGGGATTCTGGAAGGAGAAGAAGAAAACACTCAAGGCTTGGATAAGCTATTTGAAGATATAATAGAGAAAAACCTTCTAGGCCTTGCTAAAAATCTAGATATCCAAGTATGAGAAACTCAAAGGACCCCTGGGAGATTCATTGTAAACAGGAAGACACCATGACATACAGTCATCAGACTGACCAAAATATCAACTAAAGAGGCCCTTATACAAGCTGTAAGATGAAAGAAACAAGTAGCATATAAAGGAAAGCGAATCCGAATAACGCCAGACTTCTCTACTGAAACCTTACAAGCAAGGAGAGACTGGGACCCCATTCTCACTCTTATAAAACAGAATAATCCCCAGCCTAGAATCTTGTACCCTGCAAAACTAAGTTTTGTATATGAAGTAGAAATAAAGACATTCTCATATAAGCAAATACTGAGAGAATTCACAAAGATAAGACCAGCCCTCCAAGAAGTACTCAAAACAATGCTACCCTTGGATCAGCACAATAAACACTAATGAATGTAAAACCACTCAAAACCTAAAGATCAAAGGCCAGATACCACATGGCTCAAGAGAGAAAACAAAGCAACAAAGTACAACCCAACATATTAAACAAAAATCAGCCCCACCTATTAGTTACCTCAATAAATGTGAGTGGCTTGAACTCCCCACTCAAGAGACATAGGCTGGGCGAATGGATAAAAAAAAAATACAAGCCAAGTATCTGATGTCTTCAGGAAGCACATTTAGCCTGCAAGGATGCATTTAGATTAAGGGTAAAGGAGTGGAGAAAAACATTTCAAGCAAATGAAAGCCAAATAAAGGCTGGTATGGCAGTTTTGATTCCAGATAATTTAGTAGTTAAATCCACAAAAATAATAAAAGACAAAAAACGTCACTATATAATAGTGAAGGGTACAGTTCAACAAGAAGACATAACAATTCTAAATATATATGCACCCAACTTAGGTGCACCCAGATTTATGAAGCAAATTCTACTTGATCTAAACAAATGGATAAACAATAACACCATAATAGCTGGAGACTTTAATACCCCGCTGACAGCACAGAACAGATCCTCCAAACAGAATATTAACAAAGAAATAACCCACGAAGACAATTATGCACCTCTGTCTTCCCCTCACCGAGTCAAGCTTAGCAAGCAATCACCAGTTGTGATTCACTCATTTAGTATGTTAACATCTCTTTCTCTTGTACAACCAAAACCTTGAACCACATGGTTTCTACCCCTCATTGCTCTTCACAGACCATTTCGGCCCTTCTCTTCATTCATTCATGGACTTCACCATTAATGGAATGGGTTCGCTCTATCCAGAATACCAAGTCTAGGATCACGTTGTATTTTATAGTAATAGTACCTGGTACAACGACCATTTTATTAATACACCCAGTGTGTACTGGCACCTTAGTTATTTCCACATCCTTTGCAATTGTGAACCGTGCTGCATTACATTCAATCCAGGTGTATTTATCACTCACGCAGTGACTTTCTTTTGCTAGATGCCATATTGGGATCTGATAGTGGAGACCACTTGTATCACCTTAAGGTATTGATATTCTTTCCACAAGGTGTATATTGCAGTCAGTACATGTAGCAAGTGGTTCTCCACTCCACCATGACGCTTTTGTTGGATGCTTAAAAATCGCACATTAACACCAGACAGATAATGAACAATTGTGCTTCGCATTTCATTCCTGATATAAGATGTTAGCATTTTTTCATTTTCATTTCTCATTATTCTGTCTTCTTTGAGTTCTGTTCATTTCTTGCCCACTTT